AATTGACCAAATCAGATGCCAGTGAAGCATCCATGCTAAAGAAACAACCATTCTTAGAAACATCCATGCTAATATTTTTGAATTTCCAATACGATATTTTGGCCAGGATCAAAATTCATGGCAATTCGAATTGGGCAGAGCCAAGATCAGTGTGCTAAGGTGGCACTGACGCACCTGTTCAGAATGAGGAAGGTGCCACAAAGCGGCCAGCTAGCTGGCCACATGCCAGCTTGCTGGCAACTGAAACAACCCCAAAACGGCCAGCTAGGCCACATGCCAGCCTGCTGGCAACAATAACATGCCAGTTAGCTAGCCGGCAAGAGCAAGACATATGAAACAAAATATGAAACAACAAACTGGCCAAACACCGTAAGGGTCTTTGGCCAGTTTGTTGTCTATATTATACATTTATTACAAGACATTGACTGGCCAGCTCACTTGCCAAAGGCTCTTTTTTACATGCATGGCGACGGGTGATGCCCACAGTGTCAGTACACTGCTTCTTTGGCATTGGTTCACCCTTAGAATTTGCGTCAATTTCAATCGGAGCTCGAAGGGAGGCCCGACCGTCGGCGAATGACCTTCCGCATGGCCTCTTCCAAGTCTATGCTTGAGAGCCATTTCTTAGTTGAGGCTGAAAAGAAGCGAAAATAGTTTGAAAAAACGTCGGTCAAACAAAATCAAACCTCAGTGAACAACAATAACATCCAAGGCGCGGAGTTGTTCCTCAAATAGTTGTACTTCGCCTTGAGAAGCTCCAGCGGCATCCTGTGCAAGAGGCGTCTTTGAACCATCATCGGGCATGGCGCTGGCTTCTCCTGTAGTTTCTCCTTGGCTCGCGTCCATTGTCCCATTTTCCTGGCTTGGATGGTTTTCGCAGTCACAGAAGGGGGCGGTGGTCGCATCGCTCCCATGGCTACAAATGAGGCTCTTGACAATGGACGACGTTTGGCCTGGGAAATTTTGCGGCAGTCAAGTGTAAGTTTCAGTCAAGCCAGCTGGCAGCGCACATTTATGATCAGCCAGCAAGCTGGCCATGCAAAAAATAACTTTATCAGTAGCGGTGCTTCGCCATTGGAAGTTGACTTTGTGTGAACAAGTTTGAAGGACCAGCAAGCTGGCCATTTCAGGACCAGCAGGCTGGCCATTTCAAGACCAGCAAGCTGGCCATTTCAGGACCAGCAAACTGGCCAATTCAGGTTATCATTTCAAAGGGAATCATTTTCACACCATTTGATTCCAGGCACTGGTAGTCAGTCCATTCCTGACCAGCAGTGGTCTTACCACTGGTCGTTGCTAAAGAGGGTTGTGTTTCCAGACCTTCAAGTCTGTCTGGAAAAGGCCAAGCACCACCCATAGATGTCGTCCGCAGATGCATACAGGACTGCCGTGAGCAACACGGATCTGCCGGCGGAGTCCCACACCTGAGCAACAAGCGGGCCACAGCAAGCTGGCCAAAACATTTTTAAGACCAGCAAGCTGGCCGCAACATTTTCAAGACCAGCAAGCTGGCCATGTCAAGACCAGCAAGCTGGCCGTCATTTCAAACGGGGCATTAATAATTGGCAAGAAACACAATTTCGCGGCCAAAAAGGCCCACGACGAATGAACTGCAGCTCATGGCGTCTGATGCCAGGGCTCGGGGCACATGCAAACTGGTGTAGGTAGAATGCCTGGCCACCATTGTTGAGCTGCTGCCACTCCCACCAGCCGGCTGATTCTAAGTAGTATCGCCTGGAGCGCTGAGATCTCCTGAAAAAACTGATTGCTCCATTGGCCCATAGAACCAACCATTCTTTGGATCTCGTTGGAGCGTCCAGGTGCTGATACTTCATCAGCAAGCAGGGACTGCGGACCAAGGAAAGGCCGTCTTGCATCATTGGCAGCAGCTCTGAAAAACGAAAATTGAGATGCAAAGTGGAATTTTGAGAATACTCCAAAACTTAGAATTCTATAGGGTGACTGGCAGTGTGATATAATAAGTCATGCTGTCTGAGATGCGCTGTATATTTTGAAATTTGTCATGCTGCTTGTTGAGGTTGCCTGACTGCAAGGCGCCTTGAAGGAGAAAATGAAGTTGCGATTAGGTTTTTTTCTCAAGAAATGATTGTCCAGCAAGCTGGCCTGCAGGATTAGCCAGCAAGCTGGCCGACGATGCCTGGCCGTATTAGAATTGATCAGCAAACTGGCGATGCCGCTGATTTTTTTCTTCTATTCAAAACCTGCCTTCTTGTCAGCCCTTTTGGCTTCCAAGCGCCTGTACATGTCCAAGTTCGTTTGCGTTTCTCGAAGTTGCTCACTCAGCCAATTTTGCCTCTTTTCAAACATGTTAATTTGTTGACATCTCAAGGCTTCTGTGTCTTCCTGCTTTTTCCGAAGAAAGGCATTTTCCAACGCCAATTCAGCGCTTTGCTGCTGCTGCTTCTTCCGGAGAGCAAGGTTCTGCGCTTTGAACTCGGCAGCCTCCTTCTTCTTGTCCTGCAGCATACCCACAACATTGTGGAGTTGGGCGCGAGGTTGGCTCATCTCCTCTTCATTGGCCTCCAATTTTTTTCTTTCGGCCTGAAACTTTTCATGCCAGTACTCTGCTTGAGCTTCAGCAAACAGGGTTTGTACATTGGCATTTGCCACTGCTTTCTGCCTCCGGTTTGCCAGGCGGCACTGCTGGCTTCGGCTTTTGTACCGCTTGCGGTCTCCGCCATCATCCCATGACGAAGTTGAGTTCCATGACTGGTTTTTTCCCTCATCCCAAGCAGCGTTCCTTTGCCAGGACGATGAGCTCCATGACTGGCTTTTGGTGTCATCCCTTTGCCAGGACGATGAGCTCCATTCTGACTCACCTTCCCAACTCTGAGTCTGCCACGTGGCTGTTGACCATGATGGTGGCTTGGCCGGCTCTGGCGGGGGCTGTGACATCGCATTGACTGAGAGCAGTCGTGTTTTGAATTTGAACCCAGCTGGTCATGCATTCTCCATTTTTAAAACCAGCACACAACCGAGACATGAGCCAGCAAGCTGGCTATTTATTGAATATTTACCTACCAGGACCAGCAAGCTGGCTATAATTTATATAGTTATTCACAGTCACGACAAGCGGCTGGTTGGCCAAATGGAGGACTCACCCGACAGATATGCAATTTTTTTACAGCCCAGCTGCGCTTAAGACTGCTTCAATGACTCTTTGAAAGAGTGGAATTGGCACGGCATTTCCAGCCATAGCACGGAGTTGATTTGGAGCCACCACATTGGATGGAAAATCTGAGTCCGACGCCCCCATCAGAGCCAGGATCTCCGTGTGAGACATGAACCGGTTGTACTTCAGAAGCCAATGGCCATTCTCTTTTGCCCTGGTTCGTGTGAGGCATGGAGATTTGCCCTTCATAGCCTTGGTCTGGTGCAGTGAGTGTATTAGTTTTGAACTATTGAGGACTACCGGTTTGTTGCTGCTACCAAGAAGCGTGGGCTTTTCGTTTTTGTGAGCCTGACTGCCCATCATCAGACTGTAACATCAGACTGTAACACATCATCAGAGTGTTTTTTTAGTGTCAAAAATATTTGGTACACGCGCCTCCAATATCCACCACATAGTGCACATCACAGGGGTTATCGCCCTTTTCCACCACGCTCTGCAAAGCGTCGCGTACGTGCTGAAGAGCAGTAGGTTTCAGCGATTTGGGATGACGTGGCAGCTTTGGATCCAAAAATTCGTCCAAAGGTCTCATAGGCACCTGACTGACGGCGACAACAGCACAGCAAAAAATAAGGGAAACTTGAATATATAATTTACACATTTTAATGCTGCATTGGGTCCGAGCCTTCTCTGGCCAATTTATTTTCCCCTTCTGCTTCGACTTGAGGATGCCGACAATGAAAACCCTGGAGCGATGGTGTGGTAGTCCTGAATACTCGGACGTGTCCATCAGTTTCCAGGACACATCGTACCTGACAGTGTCGGCTGTGTTCATTTAAAAAAATGACTACAGTGGGACATGTTGAAACTATGATTCATATCTAAAATTTCAGGAAAGGTGCAGTTGCGCCCCTGTTTCATCCAGGAGTGAGGTGAGGACTTCCAGCAAAAGTGCCAAAGTGTGCTTGTGCATTTTCACAAGCCCTTCTACGTTTTCGAGTATGAAACAGCGAGGTCTGGCTTGACCAATGTAGCGGATAAGAAACAACACCAATATTCCTCGTTCTTCATCCATTCCCAAAGCCATTCCTGCCAAACTGAAAGGTTGACACGGAAATCCGGCCGTGAAAAGGTCTACGGCCGGAAGATGCAAGAACTCGTCCGATGTGACATCGTCGATCCAGCGGCAGTGCTGGTAGGTTCTAGAGCATAACGTTTTCACATGCGGATCAATGTCAGAGGCAAAACAACATGTGTGCCTTCGCCCCAGCCGCTGCAATGCTAAGAGGTCTGAGCACCATCCCGAACAAGCCGAGCCAACTGTTAGGCCACAGTGATTGTGCGATTGAGGGCAGGCAGGGACGCTACCCTTTGCCATCCACTTCTGCAAAAGACGCAACACATCGTTTTTGGTCACTGGCGCCGCACCTGCAGGTAATGGTCGAACAACTGATGTTGCTTTCGTTTTGCTCTTAGTCTTTGAAGCGGCATCCTGTTTTTTGTTTTTTGCAGGGGCTGCTGCTACTTTCGCTGCGGGTCTGCTTCCAGAGCTGATTCTTTTTTTTTGGCAGGAGCAGCAGCCTCCAAACTATCATCATCATCATCCATGTCGGCGGAAAACCCCATGGTGAAAACAAGCAGATCTGCATTGATTTGATCCACTCAATGCGACTGGTTGAAATAATTTTGTTGGAATCAGCGCCACATAATTTGAAATGCCAGCAAGCTGGCAATTTAGTTCCATGTGACGTCAGCCGGCCAGCGAGCTGGCTGTATTTTTTCTCCTCGCGGCGCCCATTTCTGATCACCAAAATTTGAGGCTTGGCGGCTGTTGCCGATTGCCTCTCGTCGAATGAAATGCATTTCATTTTCAGCCCGCTAAGCTCTTCAGTAGGGCATCTCTGGCAGCAACCGCTGCGCTTGACGCCTCTTTGGGAGGCCTGCCACCTTTCTTCTTCGGGTCCTTCGACTCGGCACCGGCAGCACCTTCGCCATCTGCACTTCCGGCAGCTTCGCCATCTGCCTTCGACTCGGCACCGGCAGCTTCGGCAGACTCAGCCTTGTTCTTGACCTTGCGGGGTTTCTTCAAAGGTGGTTCGTCAATTTTGCCGCCCTCATTGAGAAGTGCTGCCCTCAGTCGAGAATTCATGAGAAGGAACATTTAAGTAAGATACTTGATTTGACAAAAAAATGCTGACATACATAAATGCTAAAACCGCCAAGAATCAACTGAACTTCGTACAGATCTGGGCAATTTGGATCCACCATGCACTGCCACAATGCCTTGAGACACTTTTGCTTCAGGAGTTTCTCGTGGTGAGATGACCAGACAATGCTGACCACCGGAATCTTCTGCTTGATGGCCTCCAGGATGAGGAGGTGATCGGATTCCGGGCAACGGAACACGACCTTCGGGCGGAAACTGTGCAACAGTTCCGCCAGCAATGTCGGGCTGGAACAGTGCCACGACACGGGCTCCATCCCATCCGCAAAAGTAGGTTTTGCTACCTTGTTCTCTTCACCACCTCAGACCAGCAAGCTGGCTGTAACAAAGGATCATTTCTTGCGATGTGATTTGCGAGCAATTTTTTACCAGCAAGCTGGCTAATAATGTTGCAATTTATTTCATGCATTTTTTTAATTCAGTGATTTCATGTATACATTGATATACCAGCAAGCTGGCAGGAAAAAAAGCTGGAGCAAGCAACTGGACACCATCATGAGCCAAGAAACATGCTCCCCCAGTGAGGATCTTGCCCTTCTCGGAGTACAACAGTTTCTTGTCAGCCAACGAGAGTCTCCAGCAAGCAGGGTCGTCGTAGCCGAGAGCTCGAATGGGGCCGATGTTGGATCCGAGATTGGTCCCACTGTAGTGTTTGCGGGATTGTTTCTGCAGCTGCAAACCATCGAGGGTAAAGACATTGAGGTTCTCAGTTTGCTGCACAAATCCCCTGACTTTTTCTTTTCGATCGCCCAGTGACTCTTCATCATATACCAAAGTGAAATTTTGCTTCACCTTGTTCATGGACCTTCCATTGGTGTCCACCAGGCATCCGTTGACGGAACTATCATTTCCCGGGCGGCTTCCATCCATATAGGCGATCATGTCAGTGCGACGCAGGTCATCTTCCTGCACCTCTGTGTCTCCACCGTTGCCACGGAGTGCGGTGAAGGTTTGCACATAGCGCCGAAGCATTTTCCCTTGGAAAGGAGGCAGTCGACAGTTTGGGTTCGACGATGCCTCACCTGCGATTTTTGAGTCAAAAAGCAGCATTGCAGGCCCTTCCACTTTCTGCAAAATCTCGCATTTTTCCACAACAGACTTCAGATCACCGACGGTGTCCTGGTCAATGACAAGGGTCACGAAGCTGTCGAATTTGTTCTTCAAAAAATCCAACCAAACTTCCAGCTTTCCGGAATCATCCGCTTCCAGCTGCTCAGGAGTGACCAAGTCGTTCAGAGAGGTTTCGATGCCATCATCATCGTCGTCGACTTTTTGCGAATCACCCTGTTTCTTTTCACCAGCGGAGTCTGGGTGACCTGCACTTTCATCTTTGTTCTTGGCGGAGATCTCCGACAAAGCATCCGCCAAAAATTGGCAATTGTTCACCACTTCCAACGGATCTGACGTGGACTTCAAGCATGACTTCAAAGGCCCATCACTTTGACAGCCAAAGACCACCGTCGCAAGCATTGTGATCATCAAACGGGTTGTTTCTCCCAAAGTTCCGAAAATGGCTTTGTTGGCCATGGCCGCCCGGAATTTGACGTGGGTGTCCAGGTTGCACAAGAACACCAAGTCACTGGGCTTCAGGGTCAGCTGCTTTAGGAATTGGCCGAGGAAGTAGTTTTTCAAGTCCAGCTTCATGACAAACAGGTCGACCAACCCTTTCTGACGCACAGCTCCGCCCTGAGTTTGAGCCCACCAGCAGAAAAAACATCATATATCCTTTTTTGAACATTGATATAATTTAGACATTAAAAAAGTTATTATTGAGCAACACATGATTCACAACAAAAATTACTTTAGTTTGACATCAGCCAAGTTGCCAAGGACCGCACCGTGAAGTCTTTCGGTGAGCATTCGTTGGTCTTCATCAGGTCTGCCATGTTTGCCATGACCCAAAGCAGCTGCTCAGGCGACTTGGTCTTCTGCATGATCTGCCCGATGTTGGACATCACCCCCAACGGAGACAGCTTTCCGTACTCGGCATCCATGTTCAGCACCATGGTTCGCAGCTCTTGGTTGGAGAGGATGCGGTCATGGAATCGCAGAGCAGTCTCGACAAAGTTTTGGCTGACTGTCTCTGCGAGTGGAGATGCACATGCATGGACGTGGCGGCTCCATGCATTGTACAAGTCCACGCTGCTCATTTTCCCCTCCTTGGCCTCGATGTTGAGCTTGTACGTCAGCAGCTCATACGTTCTCTGGGTGGCTGAACGAGTCAGTGCGTCATACTCATCGATGATGTTGTTTCGCAAGTTGACCTGGATAAAAACCAAAGCTCATTGTGCACATTGACATAGAGTGAACATTTGATTATTATATCAGTTACTATTACTATTATTTTAACTAAGAAGGCAAGAAACGCCACGGAAAAAATCTTCTCCAACGTAGGCAACATCTCGAAGATCATGGATGTGCACAGTGCCACCCGCTTGTACTGCCTGAGATCAACCCAGAAACAATGCCCAAAATCAAAGGCAAAAAAATGGCTGGGCACGGAACCATACCATCATCAACCAGCAAGCTGCTTCAACCAAACAGATTCAACCAGCAAGCTGGTCCAATCATCAACCAGCAAGCTGGTCCAATCATCAACCAGCAAGCTGGTTCAATCATCAACCAGCAAAACTGGTTGGCTCAATCATCAACCAGCAAGCTGGTCCAATCATCAACCAGCAAGCTGGTCTGGTTCAAAGCTGGACTACTTTACTTAACTCGAACAAGTTGCAACAGCACATCTTCCGATTCACCATTGGTGATGGCATCCTTCAGGGCGAACAAGTAGGCATGCTCTGGCTCTTCAGGGGAGACTCGGCGCAGGTTGCCCTTCGACACCGAGATGTCTTCGGCAACAGCAATGACAGTCGGGCGGTCAAAGAGAGAAGGTCCGTCTTTGAAGATCTTGGACTGCAGCCTTTTGACGGAGTCCCTGTTGATTGGCACCTTTGGCGCTGCGCTCCACTTGAAGTTGATCCAGAACAGGTTGCCAGCGGCATCATAGGTCCCAGCGGTCTGCATCGCAGCTTTGAAGACAGTCTCGACGAACACTGCCTGACCAGGGTGAACATTTAAGGGAAACAGAATGCAGAGAGTACTGCCACAAAACCTCCTGCTGTTGAGAGGCATGGGTGGATCCACCCCAGTGCTCTCAACAGCGCCGAGCGCTCGGCGCTGTTGAGAGGAGGTTTTTCAGCAAGAAGGAAACTGTTGAGAGCACTGGGGTGGATCCTGCTGATGTCTACAAATGGGGAGAAATGAATCGCCAAACCTCTCTCGCCGTCCGATTCAAAGTAGGGGACATCAACCACCAGACCTCCAAGGAGAGTAGCTGACCACAATACTTGTTCTTTTGGATTGCTTGGATCTGAGACCACCCAATTTTGGGCATCCCATGGGTGGATCATCACATTGTGCCTGGAGGCAGCGGTGACCTTGCGCAGCCAAGTGGTGTCCTCGAGGTGAAATTTGTTTCTCTGAATCGAACATTTTTTCGGCAGTAGTAGGTTTTGGTTTCTCTTTTCTTTGGCGACACGTTGTTGATCATTTTTTTCTTGTGTCGCACGTAACTTTAGGGCCACATCCACCAACTCCGGGTCGACCTCATCTTCCAGCAACGCGTTTTGCAGGTAGCGTTCCACCTTTGAGTCGTACTGTTTGTTTCTTTGAAACATCAGTTCTTTCGCCATATTCTCAGACCAAACTCCAGAAGAACCGTTTGTAGCAACGGCTTCCACACGATTGATATCGACCATTTCTGTAGATGCAGCTGTTTCTCGTCGCTTTTTCTTTTGCAAGGCGGTCACCGCCAAAGATTGTTTTTCTTCATTTGGCCGTTTAACACCTTTATCCAGACGAGTCAAGCAACTCGTTCGAGCCTGGCCAAAGTACTTCTTCCAAATCTTTTGTGCTTCTTCACACAGTGAATCATGAGGCATGTTGTCTGGCAACAGCAAGAGTTGCATCTCATCGTTCTTGATTTCGTTGGACCTTGGGTTCAAGACTTGTCATGCCACTTCGGCAATCTCACATAACAAATTAAAACATTATTGTTCTATGTAACCGAGCTGCATATGTCTCCGCTGCTTGGCAATGCCCTCAGAAAGAGTTGAAAAATTTTGTTCGACGCCTGAAGAAGCCATGCCGTTCCACGCAGCATAGGCCGTGACAGCGCTGAACAGTGCGCTGTGCGTTTGTTTGTCGTTGCCATTGCGGCGACGTGCTTTGATTCTGAGCAAAGCTGTGCGCCAAGCTTCGAAGGAACTTTGTCGACCTGTGGATGCTTCATACATTGCCACGGGCTCGACTTCATCGAACTGATTGGCAAGTAAAGTAGCATCCAACTGCAACACCTGGGCCAAACGTTTGATGGATCGCTCTTTGAAACTGCAGTGAATGGCTTCGTCTCGTTGTACACCTCTTTTCTTCACAACATCAAAGACGCGAAAGGAATTTAACACATCGGCATCAGGAAATTCCGCCTTCAAAGTGTTCGTGGCCAGCACAACAAACGCTTGGCATTGTTCAGCGCAGCTTAGTAACATCGGGCAATCTACTCGATTCTTTCCTCCCAAAGTTTTTGGAACCCCTCTGACCTGATTCAAGCAGCATGGATCCACTGAAAAATATAAATGTTATTTCTTTTGGAATGTTGTGGGAAAATAATTCTAAAACATTGGGAAACCATTTTACCCACCAAGGCACCATGAACCCACGTGGGCGCTCCAATGCCTGAATCATATGAGCTGTGAATCCTTGGTGGAATATGTTGCCCTTGTTCACCAAATGGTGCATTTTTGACACCAGTGTCTCCACTTCTGCGGGGAATTCAGACAAGTCATAAGATTCCGTATCGACCATTCGCAACAGCTGGCTTGTTTCATCAGCTAGGTCGCTCATCATGGCCATGAGCACCAAGTCCTTTTCGTTCATGGCTTCCAGAAAGTCCAGCGCCGCAGCTTTGTCAGCTCCATCGCGCTGAGTGGACACCCAAACCAGAGTGGAGATGATAGCATCGAGGTAAACCACCATCCTTTGGAGTGGTTGTGTACAACTCGCGAAACGGTGCTTGGCTGCCTTTAAGTGTCGGATTCGTTTTTGCCATCCAGCATCCAGCTGCTGAGCGAAGCCACTAAAGACATCCTGGAGGACCTTCGAATGGTGAATCTTCTGAATGATCGAGTCCGATCCAAAGACATAAGCTTCGAGGACACCAGACATTGACCCAATTGCATCCCAAGGACGTTTTAGGACCCGCATGCATGCGTGAGCCCGGTCTTTCTGGCAAGAAATCACGTTGGGAAAAATCATTTTGCAGACTCTTCCTGCTCCTTGTTCATTGGCCGCAGCATCTGCGACAAACATTGTCACCTTCTGACAGACCGAGCGCTGCAAATCCCGGTCATCTTCGGGGTTGGGGCCACCATAGCCAACGCAACAAGCCTGCCGAACAGCTTCGTGCATCGCTTGGACAATGTTGGTGATGGTCTCTGCGTACTCAATGTTGACACATCCAAGCACTCCTCTTCGTACAGAGAGGGCGGCGTCCACTGCACAGTACCGCATCAAAAGATCACCGTGCCGGCCATCCTGCATGACGCTCAAGGTTGCAGCGTCCCTGAGCGCCTCTCGTGTTCTTGCTCGTGCTGCTTCGCCAAGGCAGAACTGCAAATTGCAGAGTTTTTCTTTGCCACATTTATTTGCAGAATCGCCCGAAGGCAGCAAACCAGATTGCAAAGAATCACGGCGCAGACGGTTGGCCAAAGCGTCTTTGAACATGGCAATTGAAGGACATCCATGTGAAGCCAACTCCTCGCAAGATCTTTTGGTGTCATAACCGGCTATCATCAAAGCTTTGTCATGGGCTGCTGACTGACCATGGCGTTTGATGTTGCTGATGAACGGAGTCCTGAGTTCAGATGATGGTAACATTAGATAAATTGAATTGAGGAAATTGTGCTTAAATTATTGTTGGCCATTGGCCATTGGGACAGAGAAAAATTAAAACATCATCCCATTAAAGGGTGAAGAAACTGCACCATGCCTTTCGAGAAATTGTTCTCCGCATTTGCTTTTTGGCAGACAATGCAAGAAAGCCCAACAAAGTCGGATCCATCCTCATCTTCATGCTGGGTCAAGCATAGCCAGGATCCGATGATGTGCCCGCCCGACTTCAAGGTGGCCACCTGTCCCCATTCTTCTCGATTTCGCAAGTAGAGGCATCTCCAGCACCTGGTTGGATCAAAGCATTTCGAAACATGGTCTCTGTTTTCCTCTAGAGAAACAGGTCTGAGCAGCGGCTTCTCGACAGAAGATTTGGATGGTTTTTTTGCGATATTGTTCCTCCACCGTCGAGTTTTGTAAATTGTTTCAATTTTATCATCCTCGTGGACCTTCTGCGGTGTCGCAACACGGCCAAACCCAGGGATCATTGCAAATGATTTTTTAGTTTCAAATGATGTGAAGGCTGTTTGCAAATCATACCTGTGATACTTCAAATTTTATTTTTTTGGAAATGCGAAACATGAGTTGAAGTTGGCATCCGAAATGACTGGCATGCAACTGTAATAATTAATAACCGCAATCCAATGACAGTGACATATCTATTGTGCCAAAATGGCTTGGTCATTGTCGGTGTGAGATGATCTGTTGCTCCAAACAAATATAAATGCCAGCAAGCTGGCCAAACACTCAATCCAGGTCCAGCAAGCTGGCGTGATGAAACAAACAATTCTTACGGTTACGTGACCTCAGACTAGACATATTTTCCAGGTGGACCAGGGCAGCCTGAAAGTATGAAGGCAGATGTGTGGGGAAATCTCTGGTGTAGACAAACTCATCAACTTCAAGAACATCTCAGCCCATGTGTGCTGTGGCGGTGCCTTTCAAATGTCAATGTCAATCAATAGGTTTTTTTTACTAGGCAATCTTAGCCAGCAAGCTGGCCATCCCCCCGATATTCCAGCCAGCAAGCTGGCCCACAGCGCACTTTTTTCCAGCCATCGACTTCAAGTTGCTCAGTTGTGCCATTGCGCGCCTCTTCTCGGGCCCTCTTCTCGGCCAGCAAGTCGTCTCTTTCGTTTCTCAGTTGAGCAAGTGCAACGTGGCATAAGTCAAGTTGTGCCCTTGTTTCCAGCCACCTCCTGTGCTCAGTATTCATGAGGTTGATCAGTTTTTCATTCTCTTTCCGCAGCACATCACATTCCTTTTCCATCTCCCAGCGCGTCTTGAACTTCCCATTGCCATCGGAGCCCCTGTTTTGGGCAGGCGGGCCATCAGGTTCCGGTGACGGTGGGCCATTCGAGTACCAATCATAGTTTTTCTGAGGATCCTTCGGCCAGTAGTAGTCATCCTGGTAATGAGGTGATGATGGGTCTGCAGGCGTGCCGGCTGAGGCTGACGTCGACGACATGGCTGGCGATCTACCTTTAAAATTGAACCATCGACTGGCTGGCAATCATGATTCCATAAGACGATGCCAGTGTTAACAAGTATACACCTCAACCTCAGCCAGCGAGCTGGCTTTGCAACTGATATATTGAAGACCTCAGCCATCAAAATCACCTTGGTTAGGAATGTTGAACCCCAACCTCAGCCAGGCCAGCAAGCTGGCCATTTAATTGGGAACCAGCAAGCTGGCTGCAACAAGACTGAAACCAGCAAGCTGGTTTTTTGACAAACCGGTTTTCAAAACAACAATCATTTTTCACCAATTCCAGGTCCAGGCCGAAGTTTGGTACCATTCCGTGGCCGTCACTAAGTAAGAGCCTTGGAAGACGAGCACCTGCCACTGAGGCCCACAGCCTTTGACCATTCCATTGAAGACGAGCATTCCGTGGCCACATCATCTCATTGTCATGGCGGCGGCCTTGGCCGATTTTGATCATCCCTTTCCTGCTGTCTGCGCCGCTTCCTCCTTGTCTCCCTCTCTATCTTCAGGTCTCTTTGCCGCCTTTCCTCGGGTGTGCAGTTCGTCTTCTTGTACATCTGCACGGAGGGGTTGCTGGAAGGGTATCTTCCACTCGGCACCGATGGACCGCCATGTCGGAGGCCATAGCTAAGTTGACAGCCACTAAGCCCGTTCGCTGAGCAACATCCCGGACCTGTGCCCCCATGGTGTCGTTTGCCTGACGTACCTCCATACTGCTGTGCAATGTTATTGGTCGAACGAAACCAAACAAAATTGAGTTAATGCACTGATGTGAACACTCTGTTTACCCCCCTTTTTTAGTTTATTTTGTTCCTTGGCCAAGTGTATGCAGCAGTTAGTACTCCAAGCGCATATCTTCATGCGTCCGTGACTTTTGGCTAAAGCTTCCCCGCTACTGTGCTCCTTATCCATCAACCTATTTGTGCCAGGGTATCTCATCAGACTCAAGGTGGCGCACTTCGAACCTTCTCCATGCTCAGGGCAGCACGCAGTGCAACGGCTGACCATGTTCGTCTCCTACTGCAACCGTTACTTTTCTTCCATCGAGTTAAAATTGTGGCCACAAGATTACAGTACCAGTTGGAAGAAACCATGGATGACCTCGACGATATCGGGTTGGAAGGACAAGTGTTAAATGGCATTTTACGAACCGCGCACCGGGAGCTATACAGCTTCATCGCCCGCTGTGACCAAGCGATGCTGACGACGGAACAACGCATCCTGCACATTCTGGTACGCTGAAGTACTCAATGGCACTGTACAGGTAGGGTTGAGTGACCCCTGCGCACAAGAGTGCCAACTTGGCGCCAGCGAACTGTCATTGCATGCCAAATGCCTCAGCAGAAAGGAGATGGCCATGCACCGCCAGCACGGGAAGGAAGGGATTAATAGGGACAGGGAGCTCCACAATTTCCTGAGCCTTGCTACATAGCCAGTGACCGGCAGCAGCAGTCACACTGGACATGTCCCAGTGGATCGTATGTAGAAAGCAACTGCAGAATTGGATGGCTAACGTAGGCGGCTTGCCCACCGCATGTAGAACCTAGTTAAGCTCAGCATGATTAATAGGTCCTCCCAAACTTTCTCTCCCTCCTACAGTTCGCCAAACATATGCACTACCGTTGTGAAGTAGCCAGTGCCCTCACCGCCCAATGCGCCTAAAAATCCTTTTTTCAGGGGAACTTTGAAGTCCGTCGTTATAGGGTATCTGCTGTTCCCAAGGGTACCTTGAGGGTTTCAACACTTTTCATGGGAGTCTTTCCTTAGCTGTTTCACAGTACGAAGACGCAGCCCCTGCCCACAATACATAGTAGGCCATATTCGCTGAGTGCTTCGGAATCCCTACTAACAACGCCCCCCGGCACCCTCATCCTTAAGCATAACCCGAGCCTAATGAGCACACACCCACCCGACCCCAGCCCCAGTTATGGGTATATCACTGTGCACACACCTGCCTGCCCCACGCAGATAACCAGAGACACCCATCTTACCCTGGATACAGTCACTGACGAGGACCCTGCTCCGCTCTCCCCCTTTCAACCGCGTTCGTTGTCAATGCCACTTGTCGCCATGTCATACTACCTGCATCCCTCCCACCTTTCTCCTCCCCAACACATGTCTCTCACAATGCACTTTTCTCCTCAATACAACCGTCCTTACCATGTGACAACACTCTACTGCACAAACTGCTCAAACTTAAGATCTAGGTCGTCTTTCTGTGTTTAGTTGTCTGATCCAAGCATTTGTAGTCGTACGTTGTCAGCAGCCTGTGGCTCAAAATTTGGTGGAGGACACCTGCACCTGCAAAGCCAGTGTTGCATAGGGTCCGTCCCCTTTTTGACTCTGCCTGACCTATTTTGCGCTAGTGCCGACGCGGGGTTCCCGTCGTTTGGCTACTGAAACTCAATAACGATTGACGGTCTTTCCCGTGCACTGCGCAAGCATCTCAATTGCCAGAGTTAGTGCAACCACTGCAGGGTACCTGTTGCTGGTATGCCGAAACAGACACACTTTCCATCTGGCCAAATCGCACACGTGAACCAGAGACGGATACCCCGGGTACCGGTGCGTTATCCACACACTCCCCTCATCCCACAGCGCAAATCAGAGCTGAACAGCAGCAGCCTCTGAAACAGGAGCAACCTAGTGTTGACAAGGAGATACCGACGGGGAGGTCTACGCCTGTTGACACACCAACCGAATCGCCAGACACACAAGCCACTGACACCGTTGTTGCTAGTAGCCCTGAACCTGCCTGCGAAACCGGCCAGGAGGTTGACCTCTTTGCAGCGGACATTCCTACACTGCAGAACCTGCAGAGAGCAGCCAGTGAGAAAGTGGCGTACCACGAAACGCGACTAGCCAGTGCCCGTCAGAACCTATGGCGTATCACGAAACGCCTCAAGACAATACAAGATGGCCAGGAACCAGATACTCCTCAGGCTTCGCCGATCGTAGATGTAGAAATTGAAATCATTGATTGAGTGAACTTGCAGCCAGCTAGCACGGAGTGCATATGACTGCTCTGAGATCACCCGATCAGTGCCGGCTTATGTTGTCGCCATACTCCACAGTTGCGCCAAGAGAAAAGCAGTTGAGTGCCAGGGTGTTACCCCCCAAAACTTGTTGGATTTTTAGGGGCTTACCAACTCAATATGACCCCCCCAAAGTAGTGTAAGGGGATTTCTATTGGTGTACTTCACTTGTTTGGTCTTGTCAGGCTTGTGCCATGTCCTTCCGTCTCCGGTCATTTGAATCCTCCTTTCGTTGGTGCTGATGCATTGTTAGTGAAGAATGCTTCCAACATCTGTAATTGTATAATGTGTTTCTCACTGCAGCTTTTGCGGCT